TGGCAACTTGACCACCTGAGAACAACTCAAATGCTATCCAACTCAACTTAGGTTGAAAACCTCAGGTTTGCCTCCAGGTTGTATTGAATTATGGTCGAGTCAGGTTGGTTTGGTTTGGCTCCAAACATTACAATGTAAGCTAAATCTGAGGTTATCCATGTAAGTAACAAATTAAGTTTTGGTGTTCAGAACCTCAGGATGACCTATCTTGCTTTTTTGTGACTAAGCTAAACACTGATATTCCAAGTGAAGGATGTCTCACCATGGCTGAACCCTGAATGGTAGGCTCTTGGGAAAGTGACAACAAACTCCCCCGCATTTTGCACCAATCTGATTTTATGATAAATGAATGAAGTAAGAAAAAACAATGTGTTCATGCTAACACCCAAAATAACAAATTTGTGTTTGAAAAATTGTAAATGGAAGGTGAAAGAGATCTAGGGGCCACCTGCAGCAAGGAATCCCTGTGCTGATAAGTACTTCAGGTGACATCACTGTGGTCTTCTCACCAAGAATAGCAAAAGTAACTGCACAAAATAAACAGTATCAAATATTAGATAGCTTATTTTATAGGAGAACTTTTCAGTCTTAACTCCTCCTGTTTGAGTGTTTTACATTGCCGGTCCCAAGCCTGGATAAGGAAGAGGGTTACGTTAGGTTGGAAGCTAGCATTAAACCTTTAGCCAAACTCTTATGGTCATGAATCCTGAATTGTTGAAATAGGATTCATGTAGCCAACCCCATATAATTGGGACAAGACTTTGATGATGACGATTTTATAGGATAACTCTTTTTTTTTCATCTAGATAAATTATTGAAGCATTAGCCAATTATCAGATAGAACTAAGTTGCTCGACAAGCTTTCTGTCCTCTTTAACCAATGGGACAATTTCACACCACCTTGTACTTGCCCTGATAAGATGACTAGATGGGATCCAAAATGAAGTGCCATAACACCAAAAATAAACACACTCGAGGAAACAATGAAGAGACCATATACGAAACAAAAAAAAAAGCAAGTGGTATAACTTAGAGATGGAATTTTTATTTCACAACCAAAAATTGCAAGAAGAAAAAAAAATGGTGTCATTGCATGATTGGTACAGCCATGATATACCCCGAATATAGAATGGTACTTCTCCAAGATCTACTACTCCTAGAACCTCTAACAAAACCATCTACGAGTTGATTCCGGCGGCAATTGACATTCCATTCTAGACTTCCACATTTATTTTACAATTGAACCCCACTGGGAAAGAATGGGCAATACAAATGCAAATGGAGAAATATTGTGAACTGAAATGATACTTTCGAGAATATAGTGATCAAAACAAAATGCAAAGCACTCCAAAGCAAATAACAACCATACAAAACCAATCAATAGAACAGTAAATGTTAAAAACATAAAGCACAGGAATCTCTTTAGCAGGAAAAAAACAGGGGAAGCTCCTTCCTTATTTGACAAGATGTGTTAATGAACTCTTGAGGAAGAAAAAACAGGGGAAGCTCGTCTTTTTATTTGATTATGATGATGACATGATGTAATGAACTTACCAAGAGGATTGACCTCCTCTCCATACCCGTGCACTCTGACAACCTCCTCGAATGCAAAAGCTGCATCCCTTGGGACTCCATACCACGTCTTCCCCGCCCCCATATGTAAATAATTCAAACTGTGCAAGTCATGATCTTCCACGTGCCAAGCAAACCAACTGAACAGCATTCCTATATAAACCATGGGAGAAGTCACACCAGGTATTTCCTCCTTCATAAACCTTAGCAGCGAACCTTTTGCCCGCGAAACACCTCGCATGTTCCACGCTGTCTCTCCAACGCTACCCGCTTCCCCTGCTTCCTGCCATTTCTTACCATTAACCGGCTCAAAAGCTGAGCCAGGCATGTCATTGGCGTACTCCACCGAAAAGGGTTTATCCATGCTCGCCTTCCAGAAAAGGGTTTCGATTTCTAACGCTGAGATAGCCTTTTTCCCAGTTTTCTTCAGATGGGTTTTCTCGAACTGCTTCGCTTTCGCCTCGAATTCCTGTAGAGTGTAGGTCTCACCACTCTGCCACACGGGTTTCTGAACCGGTCGAGACTTCCGAGGGCAGAATCCGACCTGTTGCTGCCTGGTGGTGAATGCGGGTAGGGATTTCGAGTTCGAGTTGTTGTTGCGAGCGGCGAGGGAACGGTTGATGTTGGCAATTACGGTTTTCTTGGGAAGTGGAGGGAGAGGAGGAACGATCTTGCAGATGCCAAACTTGGACGCCTCTTTCTCGATCTTGAGAATGTAAGCGATAGGGTCCTGGAATTCTGCTACAGAAGGATGGTATTCCGGAGCTAATGGTAGATTTTTGAGCCATGGAAAGATCTCTGGAGGCGACTCTGCAGCTGCTACTACTGCCATTAATTGAAGGTCAGACGAACATTTAAAACCTCTCATGACACAAAACAAGGAGGGAAGCAAAGAATGAAAAACAAAGCAATATATTCTTCGGCTCCATTTCCTCTCTGAGCTCTTTGCCTCTTCATACTCTGCTCTGCTTCCCTTCCTAGTTCCTAACAGGGGAGAAACATTAAGCGGAGAGTGGGAGAGTCAGCCGATTGCTGAAAAGGGATTTATTCTGATTTTGGCTTAATCCCGACAAATGACATTCTAGTTTGCTTTAATTTCCATCTTGCCATTCAATTTTAATTCGGAAAACATATACATCGGGAGGAAACGTGTTTTGTATTTGCACGTGGTATCATTTTCTAGCAAGCACATGTTAAGTATATGGGAAATTGGGAATCAGATATCAAAAAAAAAAAAAGTATATGAGAAATTGGGAATCAAACTATTTTGAAGGATTGTGAGGTGTTACCGAGTGACTAGTATAGCCACGTGTAAGAGTGATTATTTGTAGGGTCATTTATTAAAATACTCTTACAATTTTTATATATTTATTAAAATTTACCCTATAATTTAGACTTTACTAGAATTCCTTTGTAGTCTCCAAAGCAAACGATTTACTTAATTCTTTCAAGAATCTTTTACATTGTTCACTGAAAATGGTAACTTGATCGCCTATATTGAGTGGAAAAATATTGCATTGGCAATATGATATTCTCAAAGTACTCATAACACTTCATATTCAACTTTTAAAATGAAATAATGTTTGATTTTTACATCTACCACATAATGTTTGGTTTCATAATGATAATGAAAAAGAAGAGAGAATCTTAGGTTATTAGTTTGCAATAACATGTTTCCCTTTATTTCAAATAGGGAATAAAATTGATTGAAAATAATTGTTGCCCATTTTTATTAGGGGCAAGAATGACATTTTTATTTATATTTTTTATAGATTAAATTAGTCACAACAGACACTAAGGTCAAAACTGTCATTTTTCATAGATTAATTATGTGTTTGGAACCGTGGGTGTTTATTCACTAAACGTTTTTACTTGATTTATTTATAAAACCGAGAAAAGCAATAATGAACCTGTTTATTGGCACTTAGGCACCACATCAGCAAAACAGTGAATAAATGCCTACTCGTTGCCCCCAACGGTAGGCATGCACATAAATCAAGGCCCGCTTTTACAAGTCTCTATGCATATGGATCTGCATAATGGGGAAAATGTTGAAGTGGCGCCTATGTGGCAGAATTTATTCAATAAACGCCCATGATTCCAATCGCATGCTAAAGTTGTGAACCATAGAAGGTGTTTTAGTAACACAAACTATAAAGTAGGTTTTAGTAAATCCATTAATAAATAACCCTAATTAGAGTTGTTCGTGAGTTGGGCTTGGGTTTAGCTTTTACCAAAATTTAAAGGGATAAATAGACTGCACTCCACCTCAGAATTCTAAATCCCAATGCAGACCTACAACAATTCAAAATTTCAAACACCTTCACCTAAACACCGATACTCACTCATGTAGTGACATCAATTTTCGAACTGACACCTACCCAACTGTATGATAGAGCTAAGATTTGTGGGGTGAACTGAACAATAAAACCCCAAATTTAAATGGGCCCAGTCTGAAGTCGAACCCAAAAGAGTGTAAAATGCTCATGGGGTGGCCTGTGAACAGGTCTATTTCCCACCCGTCCCAAAGCTCACCTCACCTAGCCTGAAAATCATCAAGCTTGGGCCTAATTTTTTTGTGTTTAGGCTCTGTCTGGATGAATTCTTGAAAAGGTAAATGTTTATGGGGAATTAGCCAGTTAGTGATAATAGATTGAAGCTTACTAATCAAACTTGGTAGTTTCATATCCCTTGAAAATATAATTATTATTTCTTTAGAAACTTTGTGAGTGTTAAGAAGTTCTATTCCAGAAAGGAATTGTTAGTGACAATTATTGTATCCTTTGAGAGAGAGAGAGAGAGAGAGTTGAGCACTTATTTCTGGTTAGGGCTGTCTTGTTTGCCTCTTTCTCCCTTTCTTTTCTGAAATTTTGTATGATGTCTCAGCTGGGTTTATGGCCTTCTATATCCACTGCATTTGGCAGGTCAGAAATAAGCATACCTTTGAAGGCAATCATATTAACATTGTATTGTACCTTTGAAGGAAGCCGAACTTATGGCAATTTGTCTCTTCGTTCATTGTTGATAAAGTTTGGAAGAATGTGATATTGCAATTTGACTCCTTCCAATCTATTAAGGCGATTAATCGGGACTATGATGCTATTCCATGGATTGACTGTTATTGGTTGACAGAAATTTTATCCATGTCTAAGTTTTTTGATGGTTCATTTACTAAAACACCTCCTAGGATTTCTAAAATCTATCTTATAATTTGCATTTTATTAAAATATCCCTTGTAATCTGTAATTGATTTACTTAATCCACTTTCCATTAGATGACAGTGAAAATGATAGTTTTGACCCTAATGCCCAATGAATTAAGGCCCCACATTAGGGGAGGGACAAATGTATGCAGCCTTATCCTTATACATTCAAATAAGTTGTTTCCAAGTTTTGAACCTAATGTTCATTTGGATAAAAATAACCAAAATAAAAATGAAAATGAAAATTTCATGTTTGCCCCCAATAAGACACAAGCAACCACTCTATTTAGTTCAATTTGGTCAAATTTGTTTTCTATATGAAGAATGGAAGAAGTCTTAGAGGTACTTTTGGAGTAAACAATCATAGCCCAATGCCCTAGAATATTTTCCATTGAGTTTAGGTGATTATGTTACTATTTTCATATGGCAAAAGAAACACTTCTTAGTGAAAAGTCAACTATAAGGAGTGTTTTAGTAAAATGAAAACTATGTGATAGATTTAAGTAAATCCATGAAATTATGGAGGGTGTTCTAGTAAATGATCCTTTTTTGAAAATATTAGGTTTATTCATACTAGTATATCTAGTCTTCTAGAAATGGTGGGGACAAGCAATTTTGAGATGTCTTCTATAGACTCTTCATTCATTCTTCCCTTGGAACACAATTTTGGTTTTGTATTGTACTTCATCTTTTAGCAAAATGGTCAATGGGTTCAGCAACTTTAACTCCACCTAGGCATGCTCACAGTTTGGTTAACGGAACTGTAGACCTATTTTTCAAATCAAACCGGTAGTATCGATTTTTGGAAAACTAGTAAAAATAATAAAAAACTATATATATATATATATATATAACATTATATTATAAATAATAAATAATATATATATCTCGATTGGTTTGGTTAACCATCGAGTTTTTATATTGGTTAACCAAAAATCGTATTGGGGCCCATTTGTATTCAACCCATTAGACTACACTACTCCTAGCCCTCGATCCTAGTTAGGGATGACAATTTTCCCCATCAAATTGGGGCCCACCTTGAATGGGGCAAGTTTTTCTTGATCTGTCTAAAGTCAATTTGGACGGATTGGACGAACCAACAAGACATATTGGATTGGACCAATCCGGTCCAAAAATATTTATTAGATTGGATTGGACCTGGTTTGCCCGTAATAAATTTATATTGGATTGTGTTGGATTAAGCAATATCTAATCCATTGATATAAGATAAGAATATATGTATCAATAGATCGGGATTGTGTTGAAACCAATCTAAATCAAAATGAATTTGAACAGATTAGATGACCCAGACATTGAATTAGACCGGTCAAACATTTATTGGGTTAGATTCGACCTGATCCATTTATAATAAACTTACATTGTACTGGATCGGATTGAACTAAATAGAGTCCAATTAATACCCCAACATGAAACACCTTTTTGGAAGATATTCATGTAAGAGAGCAGAGCAATATATAGCATGGCAGCCCAAACTCCTGAAGAGAGGATTAGAAGGAAATTACTCATGAGTTAGTGCCGGCCATTTTCACCAAAGTTTCACTCTGGAGTTTGGACTCTCTCGGCTTGGGACTTGGGAGGCGTAAAATCTAACACAAAAGTGAACCATAATTGTACTACAAACATTTATGAGCTATAAAACTTTGGCTTCCACCATCCACAATTCCACATTGTCAGGGCCTACCACGTGAGAATGTGTGTTGCAACCACATCTGTCTGCACATGGCATGTCATTCAATTTGGAGTTGCACGTGCAGAATGTATGTAGCTATTTTATCTTATGTTTTTATTCCAAGAGTCGATAGGTTTGTAGTTGGTACGCCTGCTTGTGGGGAGTACTTGTTTTTAAGCATTTGTTGGAATAAGCGATTATTTTAGACCGGGACCACACACATAAATACTTATTTTCGTGTTTAAGGGCTGGTTTCTTTCGGTTAAGTGATCTTAGACTAAACCAGCAAATTATGGTTTAAAAAATTCTTATATCAAATTAAACCATTTTAGTATATTTAAATCGAATAAGACTAAATCTCTCATTACAATTAGGTTCAGTTTCTAATAGGGTTTAGGTCATTCTATTCAGCTTAATCCAATTAGAAGTATGAATGAACAGTGTTTTCTAAAAAATAAATTTATTTAAAATAAAAGAAAATTTTAAGATATAAAAATTATTTTAAATATGTTTTGATATATATATATATAATATAAATAATATTTATTATATAAACAAGGTTAGGGTGGGCATGAGGACTTCACTCCCCATCCCTGACCTCATCCATGGTTGAGGATCCTTATTAATTCCTATCCTCACCCCCCTAAGGCAATCTCCAGCCCCGACCCCATTGGGTTCGGGGAGGGAGGGGGCGAGTAATGATGGGGATGGAGAAAATTGTCATCCCTAATTAGAAGTTGAAATAATATGTATATTTACATAAATAATAAATATAATTCAAATATCAAATTAAAATATTAACAACTGCCCCTACTACTATTATATAGATTGCATTCACATTTTCTTAAACAAAAACATCTCATCGGGCATTAAACTACAAGTTAAAAATTGAAACAAACAAATAATAATGTATAAAATGTTAAATTAATGTATATACACATTAATAAATATATTATTACTAATTTGGTTTGCAAACTAGTCTAGTTTCTAAAATTTAGAAAACTAGACCAAACCAAAAAATTATGTTTTGAGAAACTTTCAAACCAAACCAAATCGTTTTTTAAGGCCATACCAGATCAAACCACTAATTTTTGGTTTGGTTCGGTGTGGTTTGGTAGTATAGACCATATAATGAATACCCATATTGTTTCTTCAGGAAATAAGCTCATTTTTTAACAAATTAAAATATTTGGTTTTTCTTTAAAGTTTTTTTCCCTGTAAAAGTGCTTATTGCAATTTTTTCTTTAAAATAAGAGTTTTTTCCACAAAAGACTCATATTAAGCGATGTTTGACATTGATAATGATTTCTTGAAAATCACTACCATGTCAGAGTCACATCAGCATTAGAGGAATTGGTGCTGAAATTTCTGTTTGATTGACCAATTCTAGTGATTCTCAGGAAATCAGCTAAAAATCAATTATTGAAACTAGCCATTCTGAGGGATCACCTTTTTTGGTGATTTCTTGATTTTAAGATGACATGTTATTGAATAATAACTCTAATACAAATCTCCAGCTGGTATTAGTGAAGACTTGGGATCAAATCCCGCCTGCACCTGGATTGGGCGATGGACTACCCGTTGTGTGGCCCTTATCAAAAGATATAAAAAGAAAAAAAAAACTCAAAAGCTGTTTTTTCAAAAGTGGCTTACATGACAGAAATTATACCGAATAACAAAATTTATAGATTTTTTTAAAACACTGATTTCAAAATCCAATCGGTAAAGAAGAATCAGCATCAATGCCAGACATTAGGATAATCAGTTATTAATAAGTATTTATCTATAACTAATTAATAAACATTTGTTTATCAATAAGCTTATAATCAATCCAACACGGGGGCGTAGTCAGACTTTGAACTTGAAAGCGTTTTGAGAATTTCATCTAAATTTGGCATCTGAATGCTAGGGAGAATGACCGTTCAGCCCAGGGTCAGAATTTTTAGACCCGAAGACTGTTAGGTAGATGTCAATTTGGAATTGATGTTATTTGTTCCTCACACCATGCGCCTCACGTGCACATCTTATTATGTATTGGAAATATCTTCCGTATTTATCTGATATTATTTATGAGAGATATTCTCAATGCATAGTGGATGTGCATGTGAAGCGCCTATTTGTGAAGAGCAGCCTTGACGCACAGAGGATGAGTATTTAATATTTTGAATGTTTATAGGACTGCAGTGAAATTAAAAAATCTGCATTGGGCCTTTCCGCACTTTTCCACGTTAATCAAAAGTCATAAAGTCTGGCAAAACATCCATCAAATTCTACTTTGTACATCTCTCTCGTGTCAATTATTCAACTTACAAGGCGCTGAACCTGTATGTTGGGCAAATCGATGGAACTGGTCACAGGATCAGTTGAGAGCAATGGACTTATGATGCATCATCGACAATAAACGAAGCTCAACTTGAGAACACGAAAATGTACTTCGGTCAAATTTTCGAGCTGCACGGCTGCATTTACGTAAACAGGGTTGGACTTTGGAGTTTGGACTGAAAACGACGATGTCGATTTGTTTGACTCTACTGTTGGATGTAGATTTTGTACGGCCGCTATTTATGGCTCTGCATTTTGCAATTATCATATTGATAGGTAGTTTAAGATCTCAAAGAGATGGCCGGCTGTGCTGTTCAAGGAGGTTGTCCGAGCGATTACATCGCCGTTGCTGTATCCGTTATCGCCGTGATTCTGTATGCTCGTACCTCAAGTTTCTTTCTTTCTTTAATACTTTCTTTTTTCCTTCTTATTTAAAAAATCATAAGAATTGGTATGGGCTTTACTTGTATGATTGGAGTGGGTCTCTCCGGCAGGGACGTTAAGTTAACCTGTTAAAAATGGTCACTTACGAGTTTTTTTTTTATTCTGAATCAAATACTAGATTCGATAAACGAAATAGAAGGAGAATAAACATATTTGTTAAATTATTTAAATTTCGTATATATGATCCGTCCTCTCCTTGATAATGGATAGATGTGTTACTGGTAATTCTTTATAAATGAATGAGAAATGGGGTTTCTCGATTGGTACTAATTCTAAGTGGAGTCAACTGTTGTCTGGTGGGGATTTGATCTCCTACTTTTGGTAATGGGTCCTTTTTGTGCGCGTTTTTAGTATATCAAGTACTGAGTGGTGCTTAGAGAATTCACTTATAATAGTCATTTGAACTGAGCTTTACTTCTATAGAACCTGTATGACACTTTATTGGAATGGAAAGTTCACCTAGAACGCTAGTTTTAACACAGAATTTAGTAGCTAATACTTTTTCTTTTTACTTATTTCTTTGGACAATTTGTAGGATAACCATGAGTTTGATTCATTATCTTGTGTAGCTTACTGTTAGTTAGAGTATACCATATTCACTCTTGTATGATTAAAGCTGCATACAGTGAAAAAATAGAATGTGAAGCAGTTCTCTCTCTAGTCTAATAGAAAACTAAATACTACATTGGAAATCCCAAATGGGTCACAAGACAAATCTGACAAATGCTGGGATAAGAAACACTCTCTCTGTTATTCCCCTTTCCACTGGTTTGGCTTTTCTTCTTTCTATCCCCCTTTTCTTTCTTATAAAGCATGAAAAGTTAGAGAGGGACTATGTATTTATCGAGTCTGGATATGCTGACCACGACACATTGCTGGCAACGCACATCCAGCTATACATCATGAATATCGGTGTTTTAAAGTACAAACAATATTCCTGATGTGTGGCAGGATGCTCGTGGCCAACAATGTGTCGTGGTCAGCAGATCCCAACTCGTACTTATCCTCCTAGTGGTTACTGTTAGAAATCTAGCAAAAACGGGCTTTCCAGAAGGGTTATTCTTGGAAAAATGGTAGAGGATGGAGAATAACAATGTGCCAATGCCTAATAATGTTAGAGTTTCAGGAATTGTGCAAGATCTTGATATTGAATTAAGCTTATCCAACTTCTTTGGGCTGTCTGTGGGTATGCTAATGCTATGTCTGGCATGAGGATGGCAGAAGTTGTGATAGAGTTTTGGGTGAAAACTATGAAGAAAGGAAATTTGTCAGTTGGTTGGCATGTTGTGTAGTGCAAAAGATGTACATATTTATAGGGACAAATATTGGAAGTGGGGTGATGAATCTGTTCTCTCCCTGTTGCATATGATTCTTATTAAAGAGGCCAAGGTGTTGTTGCCTTCTTATTTTATGGAAACTTTCTATACATTCACATTTAATTAGAGCTTCACACTTTCTGCATAAAAACATCGAGTGTCTGAACCTGGATTATGTGCTGGATATGGAACTTATGCTAAAAATGGAGGTATCTGATATGGACACGGTACCCATTTTGAACAAGTGCATGTAACAAAGTTGCACAAACATGATGCATATGTAGGTAGGAAAGAATGAAAAAGGTGCACTCAGTTGAAATCCTATCAAGCAGAACATCTGTCATTGCATTATATGTATATTCTTCCTTATGCAATTTTATGGACTTTATCAATTGAAGGATCATTGTTATTTCAGAAAAATGATTACTTATGTAAGGGTCTAAATATGATCAATAAATATCATGGTTCCCCATGCAATTAAGATCAAATACTTATTGGGTCTGTAGCTCAACTTCTTGATGCACTAAAATGTGTCATGAGGCTCTCTCTAGTGTACATTAGCCACTAAAAACAAGAAAAGATAAAAAAATTTGTCTTTTTGATTGTTGGCAAAATGGAAGACTGGCATATACCCTGACAAGGAATGGTAACAAGTTTAAAATGCAGATCAAGAAATGAAAGGAATAGCAGTAAACTGCACTTACCAGAAGTTTGGGGTTATAGATTGTACTTTCCGTGTAATAAGAGAGGAGAAGAATGAATTGGTTTTGCTTTCTAAAATTTGGTTGGTACTAAGAATTTCAGTGAAGAACCTTGAACTCTTTCAGAGGAATAGTTAATTGTATTATTTTGTAACCTTTCACTCTTTCAGGTAGGCCATCAGTTGCAGAAGGTATCTCCCTTGATATTATTAAAAGATTATTGGGGAAATATTCTATGCCCTTTGAGACGTTCTTGTCTTCTGTGTATCCTATGTGATCAACTGATTTTTGCCCATTCATACACTAGAGAGGAAATTATAAGAGATTCCTCCCTTGATTATCTTTTCTGTATTCTAGTTTTCTTTCGGCATCAACATTACTGGAAAATGAAATAAAAAGAGTACTATGTTGTAGACTTACTTCATGATTCAATTAGAATAAGAATTAAGAGGAAACAGTCTAGTTTCTTCTGCTTGGATTATGTATAATGATCTTATCTTCTCAAGGGATACCATTTCAGTCTCTTTATCTGATATGGAGGATATTAAACTTACCTTATGAACCTCAGAACTTCAACATTATTAATCTTCTTTTTCAGGCTTCTTGCTCGTTCAACATTACCCTTTTTGGTTCACAAGATTCCTCGCACAAAAAGCAGTGATTTCTGGATCTTGATAATTCAAGTTGTTGCCAGCTTCAACCTATTATTTTCAATGGTGGTAAGATCAGCATGGATTTTCACTGCATGGTTATTTGCGTAAACATATATTTTCAGACCTCTTACCTATGGTTGTAACAAGTGGAAAATTCCATGATTCATGTAGATGGGCATCAATTTTCTGAAAATAAAAAAGAGACATTGGTGGCAATCTTGCTATATATGGGCAGGTGCTTTTACTTCTTTAGTTATCAATATTAACCATCATTTTACTCCACTGTCACTTGGTGATAGTGTCTTACTAAGGGGTCATTTGATAATGGCTGAAGTGGCCAAAATGAATGGCTTATTGCTTGTCTTTTTATGAATAAGTAATTAAGTAGGTTGAGCTCCTTAATGGCTGAATTGAATGTTGGCTTGAAAACTATTGCCCTAAATACTTTTACTATATGACTATTTTATCCTTAAAAAACTGAGCAATTAAGTCATTCAGTTCAGCCACTTTAGCCATTATAAAATGGCTCCTAAATATTTTCAATCTGTATTAAGGATTTTCTTAGTTGGATTGCTTTCCAGTCTGGCTTGAAGGTCCACTTGGATTTGGTTTGCTGCTGAGCTGTCGCATAGTACAGGCCTTTCAACTGTATCACATATTTGTCAAGTAAGTCAATAACTTTCAGCATGAGAAATCTTACCCTCAAATTATACTAAAAAAAAAGAGAAAAAAACAGCCTTATTCTAATTAACTTTAAAAAAAAGAAGAAAAAATCCTTATTCTACTTAACTCAAAAAAAAAAAAAAGAAGAAGAAGAAGAAGAAGAAGAAAAAAGCCTTATTCTAACTAAATGGGGTGGACTATACAAATCCTGTTTCACCATTCCATTCTATAAAGGGACATATTCTACATCAGGTTGTGAGGCTGGATTGAAGTTTCAACAGGTCTAATTTTAATTCTAGTTCAGTATTGATCTATCCAGATTGACTAAAATCAATCAACTGATGGGTTTAATTTTTTGATGTCGGTTTGACTCATATGGTTATACCATGTTCTTTGACCAGACTGAGTCCTATATTCTATCTTCCAAGTTGGCCTACCAACCTGGTTTAAAAGCATTAGCATGATCTTCCCTCTTTATCTAACCTGGTTTAAAAGCATTAGCATGACCATCCCTCTTTATCTAAAACTTGGATAATCATATCAAGAGAATTGTTGTCTTCTCTTATATGGGGCTGGCTACAGGAATCTTGTACTGCAATTCCAATTCACACTTCAATCAATTTAACTGTTATGGGGTTGACTAAAAGATGGCTTTTGTCATTCCACTCTTATCAATGAGTTAGAAAATGCCTGCTAATAGGTTTTTATTCCACAACATTCTAGTTTGAAAGCAATGTTGCAACCAGCTATTTTTATCATTCCATATACTGTGACCATATAATGGCATATTTTAAGGATATTTTCTAAGTTATCTCAATATACTTTCCTTTTTCGTCCTTCTATATTGCACTTTACCAGCTGACTTCTTTCTTTCTCACTTTCTTTGTTTTTTTGAAGAAAGGTAAAGGTATTGTTAATATGCAAATGAAAGTACATCAGTCCATGTACAATGAGAACATGCACATTGAGAATATACAAAAAGAAACATTAAAGAGTCATCTGAAGGTCCAACTTTCAAAAAAAGAACTAAGTTGGACACCCTGAAAATTTCTATGAACACTGAACCAGGATCATAGCAAACCTATAAAATCTCTCTTAATTTCTTCCATGTTTGTATATTTATTATAAAAAATATGACAGTTTCTTTTCTTCCAGATTGACCATAGTCAACTTTTATTTTATTTTTTCTTGAAAGGTAAAGAGAAATTCATTAAAAGAAAAGAGAATACAAAAGGAAGGTGCTAAGAAATCACCCAAGAGAGAGAAAAAGATGCTAATACAAACTTACAACCATTGACACTAAACTACAAGACAATAATCAATACAAAGACATAAAAGCACCATTTCCGGACACCTCCAAGAACTCTGAGACCACACAAGACCAAGACAACCAACTCCCTAATCTTCCCCTTTGAACACCTCCTCCTGCCCATTATCATCCTCATCCCACACCTCTCCTCCCTCCCCAACTACCACTTTCTTCAAATTCTCTTCCTTCCTCCTCTCAAACTCCTCAAAGACCTTTCTAGCAAACTCCTCACCTCCCCAAAAAAAATGCCAAGACTTTTACCAACCTCAATATTTTCTCCACAATTTTCTCAATAGGAAAATTTCCAGACCTCTCCACCTGTTTTTCAAGACTTCTATCAGGATTTCTCACTTCAGAGTTGAAGTCAATTCCATTGTCTTTTTCATGTTGAAAAATCCTCAACTAAGAACCTGATATGTTATGAACCCAAAAGTCCACACCCCAAGCATCTTCAATTGTTGGCACTTTTGTCTTCCCCCCTCTTCTCTTATAAACCCTTTTAATTTTTTGTAGGTCCTGCCCCCACCAAACTAAGTTTCAACCAAGAAAGGACCTTGGTAATGTGAACAATGTACATATTCCTAGCTCCATAATTTTTCTTGGGAGCCACTTCTTCAGTTGTGTCCAAATCATTCTCTGCTGCCCTCCTCATACCTAAGTCCAGACCTATCATTCTAATCACCACTTCCTCAAAAGGACTGATTGACATCAGAGAACTCAACTTGGGAAAGAATTGCAAACATCTGCGTCGTTGTCTCATTTCCTCCTTCGACATCTCCTAAAACCTTTCCAGATTCAGCTTCACTTGCCCCAATCACAGCTTCCTTTGTCCTCTCTCCCAACCCATCCTTTATTCCTATTAGGATCACCCTATAATTGGTAGCCAGAATTTCCTCAGCAGGAGAGAAATCAACCCAAGCCGTTATAGTGTCATTCACCTCATGGCTCATTGCTCTACAATCATCAGAATCAGATCTTCGATCAACTTCACATTCAGCACACTCCGCCTTAACCTTCTCAAATCCCATCTCCTTCTTGCTTTTGTTTAACCACACTGAGCTTGAAGGACTCATGTCTCTGATCATGCCAACTAATGGGTTCCATCTGCCAATCCTAAGATCTGGCAAACGTGTTTATCCCTATTCTTGATTCAAAATATCTCTCGCTTCTACCACATCACCAAAAGTAAAAAGAAAAAAAAAAACAGCATTCGATTTTCTAACCTAAAGAGAACTCTTTGGATGCCATTCAGCAACAGACCGCTCCCTTACAAGTTACAATTTCCACATCAGGATCAGAATTGACAAATTGACCCACCAAACTCCACCCCAGCAGCCTGAGACAATCACAAATATCTGCTGACAAATCCACAATCACCTCCTTCATCCTCTCAAAGAAGCTTTTCCATCCCAGCAGTTCAAGAAGATGGACACATCATCAAGCTGTTGTGGATTCAATGGGTTTCACCAATGCTAATAGCTTCGCATGCTACCCTTTCCACCAATACAAACTGCACCGTCCATCTTCATAAGATTTTTGTGATTTGACTGTACTCTTCAGATTTTTTTTTTGACGTAAAACCCTAGTCGACACTGACATATGTCAGATGGCATTTCTGATGTTTTAAACCATGCTTAAAAAATGGCAAGATACAAAAGAATACAATCTCCAGTGTAGTCAACTCTCCCTTATCTTTTAATTAACAGTTTCACCACCAATAGAGACGTTCTAGGTTGATGAATCAGTGGATTAGATGTACTTATAAGGGCTAGGGTTCCTTGCAGAAGATGTATACTTTAGAAAGTGCCAAGTTGGTCAATTTTTTGTAGAATGCTCCAATAAGCAGTTTCACCACCAACAGGGACGTTCTAGGTTGATGGATCAGTGGATTAGATATACATGTAAGGGCTAGGGTTTCATTTGGAAGATGGGCCTGAGAGTACATTATTATTCTTTCCACAAATATATGCCCTGAATGATACCATAGTTTTTATAGTGCTTGCTTAAGTTATTGTGCTATACAATGTTTTATATTTCCAAGTATTGGTGGAAACAGCAATAAGATTATTTTTTGAAATTTTACTAACATTTTCTACACTTGCTTGCTAATGATATTTTAGGCGGCGTTTACCACCAATGAAATCATATATCTTGCTTCCTCTGATTCTTTCACCATGGATTGTTGGGGCTTCATGTAAGATGTTACTGCTCTGTTCTTTTTTATTTTTTTTAGATGCTTTGGTATGTGTTAATCTTTTGAACCATGTTTGTTAATGCCTATTTTCTCAATATCTTTCTGGTAACTTTTGTTTCATCTTATGCTCAAGTATAGATAATATCACTTTGTATGTATCATAAATCCCTTTCAGGCCTTTCTGTATGTCTAATAACTAATAATTCCCTTTTCACATGGCTTTTTTTTTTGAGTACAGCTCAAATGAAGTAGTAGTGAATAGATGCTAAACCAGTATCAAGGTATCATCTTAAATCAGTTAGATTTATTTATTAATGAGGAATCTTACTCTTCCAAGAACAACTAGTATCTTGGCTTACGTAGATGATTCTTGTAGTGTTGAACTGACCAGGAGTATCCATCAACTTCTGATATTAATACATTTCAGTTGCTTTGTTTTTCTAATAAATTTCAGTTAATTTCTCTCAAAAAATACAACCCATTAATAAATCATACGGGGCTGTTTGATGGATTTACCTTTGCTTAATGCTGACTACATGCATTGAAAAAGCAAATTTTAATCTTTGGTTGCTCAATTTGTGAGAATTAACTGGGGGTTGTAATACAGGTGGTGTAATTCTTTCTCTTTTTTTCCCTTACAGCAAGGTATGGAAAAATAACATCAGAACAAAGATATAACTTTTGTTTTAAAATAATAAGGTGAGCAAAACATACTTTAGAAATACTCATAAAAAATACATTACAAAACATTCTGAACAAGCTTTGTAGAAGAGTTTGCTAGAAACGTGTCTGTGGAGTTAGAGAAAAGAGACAAGTTCAGAAATTATGAAATCATAACCATGAACTAAAGCAAGTTCTTTTGATGTGATTTTGTTAATAGATTGGGTGTTCTGGTAGAGGATGTTTCTGCAGGTATGAGGGTGGTGAGTTTATTTTGGATAGGTAAAGAGAGTATATGTTTGGGGGGGGATGTAGATGTTTGAATTTAGTTTGGTGATGGTTGGACTTGTGAATTAAGAGTCAGGGAGTTTATTTTGGTTTGTTCAGGGTGCTATTCAGGGAGTTTATCTTTTGATGCTAGGGAGTTGTGTTCTTTTTGTCAGGAGTGGTGGGTGTTATTTATTTGTTTTCCTCCTTTTTTTGTGATTCCTTGTCACCAAACCTTGTATTCTCTTTCTTTTTTTTTTAATAAAAATCTCCCTTTATTATAAAAACTACTATTATTTATAGGTCTTTTTGTTTCATCTTGCTTCATCAGTATTGCTGACTAGCTAGAAACCAATATCTCTACATGAAAAGGATCTTAAAATTCAGTAAGTAAAGGAAAAATCTTTATATCTTAAAATTCAAGAACCAATATCTTGAAATGAAAAATGATTTCACAAGAAGGAAAACCTTCAATAAATGCTAACTCCTGTATAAGCAGCAAAATTTTCCCTTTTTTTGTCTTCATTATGGTGTTGCTGATTCAAGGTTGACTTGCAGCTTTCCTTTTTAATTTAATAGCTTCTGAGTCAAGCTTCCCTACAAATGGAACCAAATTGTTGATAACATCGCAAATTGCTCCAAAAGGATTTTGGAAACTTATCTGGGCATAATGCTCTAAAAATTGTAATTGTATTGTAAATTGTGGAGAAATTTGGATTGAATTGTTTCATAAATCATAAGATCATTTATACATTTTACAAACATGTCAATTATAAATATATTACTAAAAATCTAAATATATATAGAAAAGTTATTTTTCCTATTTTTAATTCATATCTACCATATATGTATCCGAAAAAATAGAGTTTACTAGAAGCCTAAGATGATATAATCAAGTTTGACTTGAAAGTCAGTATGCTTTCTAAGAACCTTCAAAATAAGCCATTTTCTATGGTGGTTAAAATGTCTCCTTTGACAAAAATCAAAAGAACTAGAGAAATGACAAAGAAAAGAACTAATTCTTAATTGAATTGATTTAAATTGCATGAATCATATAAATCATGAGATTCATGAATTAAATCATATGATTCAAACAAAAATTGTAATATTTTTGCAGTAAAAGGATTCAGACATAAGATTCAAATGAAAATCCTTGAGAATTTTATTTTAAATTGTGAATTGAATTATAAATTGTAAGATTTCGACAATGACACAACCTATTTTGATAAGCTAGGTACATCCGTAGTGAAAAGACAATATCCATATAACAAGGTTAAAAATATATACTTCTTGACAAACAATCAGGGGTTACCTGAAAATTAGATGTGCTCAAGTCACATTGTTTCTATTTCTCATGGAAGATATGAGTGATTCACATCCAACTTAGTTCACTATGTCCTTCTCTAAGCCAACATTACAGATTTTCAACTTGCATCTACTTACAAGACTAACTTGCTTTTTCAACTAGAATATTTATTGTGTATTTGTTTTATTTTCCAAAGTATGACTTATTAAAAATTTCTATTGATCATCAGTCCTGTGGATAATTTGATAGTTATTTATCAACTTTTTTGTTTTATTTTTCCACTGTCCTGTAGATTTTCATATAAGTTGCTTATTTTTAACAGCAAAAGGCCTTATCTGACTTGTAGTTATTCATATGAAGAAGCCTTTGAATCCCCGTTGCCACTTGCGAGGTCAATGGGTTATCCCAGTTGTGTGCCTCCATGCCTTGTATATTGCTGCCTTGGCTGTTGCGACATGGTCTGTTCAACATATCAAGTTTCAATTTAATGAATTTAAAGACCTCTTGCAGGGAATAATTGTCTCTGCCACCTCCATTGGTATGTTTCTGCTTAAGTTCCATGCTGTTGAAGCAATTTGAGTTGATATGCAACTTGTAGTATTATATTTTGTGCTTAGTTCTGCCTTAAGCTCTGGGTTTTCCATGGGTTATGATCTTCTATTCGGCCCCATTTACGTACTTGTATCAGATGGAAAACTGTGATGCAGGAGCATCCCGCATCAATTTACTTGGAAAATGAAAGACAGAATTTTTTGTTGCCAACAAATGAAAAGTGGCTTTGTTGACATTTATGCTGGGCCTAGTGGCCAGATGCAAGAATAATAAGGCTTTGTTCTACACGAATGTTTCATTGCACTCAGTTGTTTGACCTTTGAAAAATAAAGAAAACTGGTGGCACATTAAAAGGCATTTATTTTGCACCCTTAAATTAAGCTGGGACCATTGCTTGGTATAGTTATAAAATCTGAGGCTGATGAGTGTAAGAACATGGGTTCAAGTCTGAGAGCAGCCACTGTGAAAAAAAAAGCCAAAGGTTAGGTCCATATCCAGTCCACGTTTTCCAGGATCCCAAATTGTTTAGGACCAACATTGGGTAACGACCTTTAAATTAAGCTGCAAAAGCATGGTTTGGTTATCTTCTTCTCCATGTATAACCATTTTAAATTCTATTCTCTTTTGTATTTTCCAGGAGTATGGATTGTTGCGTACATTATGAATGAAATCCATGAAAATACGGAATGGCTTCAAGTTGTCTCCAGGTTTCTGCTACTAGTAATGGTATATTGTCTAATTGATCTATCCATTTGTTTATGCATATTTATATATATTTAAATATATATATATTTAAGCGCTCATAATTTAACAATGGATAATGGAATGGTAAAACAGGATTCATGTAGCCAACCCCATATAGTTGGAATAAAGCTTGGATGATGATGATGATCTATCCATTTGCCAATTTTATGCATTTGTTGTCATCTAAATGTATATATTTTGTTTTAAGTCATACCCAAACTCATTCAGTTTATGAATTTTATATTTAATATATCGAATAAATCCTTTGAATTTCTCTTAACTTGCTAATATAAGGATTGTTAATATTTTCCACACAGGCAAGCATTTTTGTACATGCTTTCTTTTCATTATCAATCTCTCGACCTTTGCTCTCACAAATGAGCTTGAGGAGAAGGGAAAAAAGGGAATTTGAGACAATGGGTATGGCTTTGCGCATACCTGATAGTGGATTACTCTTACAGAGGAGAGCCACCCCAGAGATTGATCATAATGACCCGCTGGATAGGCTTCTTCTGAATAAAAGATTTCGCCAGTCCTTTATGGCATTTGCTGACAGGTCTGTGTGTGCGTGTATGTGTGTGTGTGTGTGTGTGTGTGTGTGTGTGTGTGTGTGTGTGCGCGTGCGTGCGTGTGTCTCAATGCCACATTAGTATAATGGTTATTTTTGTTGTCTTACAGTTGTTTGGCTGGAGAAAGTGTACATTTTTATGAGGAAGTCCATGAACTTGGAAAAATACCTGTTGATGATACTGTAAGAAGGGTTTATATGGCACGACATATTATTGAGAACTATATAGTTGCTGGTATGTTTATATTTTATTGAGATCTGACACAACTCTGCTTCTGTAACTTCTTTTACAAGGATGATACATATGTGTCTGACTCAAAGCAGCGATTTAAATGAACCTGAGTGTCTCCACAATCATTGAATATGTCCATAACAATGGTAGATCAAGAATAGGGTCACTCATGGGTGTACTGTATCCCATAAATCTGGAAACTGGATGTAATGGTTATGATTGGTTAAGTGTGCATGCTCAGGCTGTGTCTGGAAAATAAATAATTTTCTAGATGACTCATTATGTGCCAATTTTGGGTAGATACAAATTTTGCTTCTCAAAGCCTAAGGTTGAAATTATGGAAATAATCAATTTTTGTTGACTACTCAATTAAACCTTTTAAAAGATGAAAAGTCCATTTTCAACTGAAATTTCAAACTTCAGTACATAATGATTTTACTTGATTATGTGATTTCAATGTACCAATTTAGTCTTGTGTGTTAAAGTTCTTCAGGAGACTTTGAAAGCATATATGCACATGTACAGTATCTATGGCACTTATGCTATTTAATATGATCTTTCATCCAAGTGGTGCTAGGTTTGTTGGATCTAAGTTATAGCAGCAGGCAGTTCCACTGAAAAATGAAACTATATCTGCAATTCTTGTTTGAACAATCTGTTTGGCCCTTAACTATGCATTTTCTTTTGTTTCTCTTCAAAACCTTATCACTTCATGAAAGTAACTCTGATTGGTGATCCTGCACAATTATGTGAGATGCAGGTGGAGCAATGGAAGTGAACATATCTCACAGAAGTCGACAAGAGATTCTGGGTACTCTTGACCTGGCACACCCTGATCTGTTTAATAATGCAGTAAATGAACTGCTCCAATTGATGAAAGTGGTAATTATTTCCTCTTTTCATGCATGTTGGAGCTACCTGGTTGTTGTTGCTTTTTCCTTCTTTACTCTCAATTGTAAGGCATTCTCTCTAACTAAAAACAAATGTATCTGAAGAACTTGGGAAAAGATTACTGGTCATCAACATTCTTTATGAAGTATAAAGAGGAATTACAGTCGCAAGCAGATGGCCATGAGCTCATGGAGCGGGTAATTGGATGGGACATTTCTCAGCTGAGTTCTATTCATGGTGTTGATGATCCTTTTGGCCAAGAACCTCCCTCAAAGGGCTCTGTGACATTCTGATGTTCACAATTCAGACACATGGTGGAACCTGGAGATACTTGAAGTGGAATGTTCAGTTATGTCAGATATGTATCTTTTTTTATTTTTTTTTAATTTTAGGAGAATTTTTTAAGTCTGTTGTAGAAAGAAAAGACAAAATGGGGGTGGGGGGGTGAAGAAAATGACAAATAGAAAAGGAAAATGGGATATGACAATCACAGACACTATATGCAACACATACTGTTTGTTTTTCCAAGGCTGATGATGTAACATGTGTAGAGAACATTGATGTGGGCCCCACAGCTGTGGTCCCACTCTGTCCGTAGGGTAGAATGTATCTAGTCACAGCTGTGATCAATTTATTATTCTGTTATTCTAGTTGTTATTTACTTTTCAGTTTTATATTGTTATGTGTTATGATGTAAACACCAAGGGCAGATGTGTCCTTTCATGTAACTAGCATAACATATAAATATTAACTTAAAGTGGCGGCGGCAGAATATTGAGATTCTGTTCTCCTCAAAACCTGTGTTCTACTGTTCTCTCATCACTCTTTCTCCTCCTTCTTCTTCACTTTCTCTTCTCTTCGAACCTGAAATTTCTTAGTGATCAAGACTGTCAGTCTTGATCAACTACAACATGCAACAAAATTGGCCCAAAATTTTGGCCGATATCAGTGTTGTTGTAAGGCTTACTTAATTGTTACTTTATAGCTGCTGTTAGTAGGCTGTTGGACAGTTACAGTTACTTGTTTCTTTTTTCTTCTTTCTTTTTTCTTATTATTCTGATTCTAGAATATGCCGCCAGGGGCATACTTGTAATTTCTGATTCTTTTATGAAGTTAATATAAATAGAAAACTGGCGGCAGCCAGTAGTTACTTTTTTCCTCTCAACCGTACCTCTCTCTTCCTCTCTCTCTCTCTCTTCCAATCCCCACGAATCACCACATGGTATCAGAGCCAGGTTTTCTGGGTTGAAAAAGACCTACGATCCCTGCTGCCCTATTCTTAAAAAGTGTTTGGACGTGGCTATTTCTGCAGAAACCCTAGCAGGTTTCTGGCAGTTGTTTCTACAGAAACCCTAGCAGTTTCTGGCGGCAGTTTTTTTTTTTTTTTTTGGGAAACCCTTGCAGTTTCTAGCGGCAGCTTTTGTGATTTCTTTTTCTTGGCCGTAATAGCAAGAAAACCCTAGTTGGAGAAGGGTGATGATGGTGCAGACTCCTCAGTTCGATGCTGTGAAGTCAAGTTCAGATTAGCACCTTCGTACAAGTGCTGAACAGGTGTGTTTTTTTGCTTCAGTTTGTCTCAGCCTTCTTTGGCCAATGGTGCGTAGGGCTCATGCCTTGATTATATAGTTATTTGTTTGGACGTTGGTTGGTTAGAGTGTGTGAACTACAGTCAGACTGATTGTAATGTCTGTATTGGTGGTGCTGAACCGATTATCGGACTGGTTTATTGTTCTGTTTGGACGTTGTGTTGATTGAACCCCTTGTTCTCAGCAGTATTCCCTTTGTTCTCAGCAGTATTTAATGTTCTTTTGCTCGCATTCTAGGAGTAAACCCTGAATTGCTCACATTCTGATTGTGGCGGCTGTGTTGTTGGGTGGTATTTGGACTGGTTTTCGGTAGTATTCGATGGCAAGTCATGAATTAACTTCATCGGGGGCTACACCAACCCGCAACACAACGGGTATGGGAGGTGAAAACATGGTTTTTCCCATGCCAATTACCCCTTTAAACTGTTTGAACTACCTGGAGTGGGCTAAGAGTGTAAAACTCTATGTAACGACAAGGGGTAAAGTTGGTTACATCAATGGAAGGGTGAAAGAACCCAAGGGTGAGACGGCTGAACATGATAGGTGGGACCAAGAAAACAGTATGGTGATGTCTTGGCTCCTCACAGCCATGGAACCTGATGTGAAAAAGAATTTTATGTGGACAAACACCGCCAGTGAGATCTGGGAACAGGCCAAAACTACCTATTCTGAGCAAAGGCATTACGCCAAAGTTTACCAGTTGCACGCTGAATCCTCAACATGTAAACAGGGAAACTGTAGCTTGTCTTCATACTATTCAGCCCTTACCTCCATATGGAAGGAATTGGACCATTATCAGGCCATAGAGTGGAAGCACGATGATGACGCTAAGGCCTACAGGAAGCTGGTCTCTCAGCAATGGGTGTTTGCTTTCTTGTTGGGATTGAATCCTGCATATGAACCGTCAAGGGTGCAGATCCTAGGAAGCAAAGAGTTGCCTATGGTTCACGAGGTATACTCCCTTGTCCAATCTGAAAAAAGCAGGTGGAATGTGATGGTTACAACTGAGGGGGAGTAACAAGTTGCCTTGGCTGCAATGAATAATAGCTCCACGAGAAAGAAAAGTGACCCTAAGAAGGCGGATGATAAAGATAAGTTGTTCTGTACATACTGTAGGCGTTCGCGACATACACATGACACTTGTTGGGACATCCACGGGAAACCCAAGTGGGCAGCAAAGAATCAAGAACAGGGTAAATGTCATTTGAAGAAAATGAGCACAACACACGTGGCAACCCAAGATACTCAAGTTGCCGGTAGTACCTGGGACCACCCTAATAAGTCTGACCCCAAGGAGGATATAATGAATTCCTTCAGAGAGCACCTGAAATCTTATGGTAGGGCCTTGCGGCAAATGGACAGCTCAGTCACTGGTACTCCCTCTACTTCATTTGCATCTACTTCAGGTAATATGGCTTCTGCATTCCATGTCACTCCCACAGATTCCCCTTGGATCATTGACTCAGGGGCCTCCAATCACATGACCAGTAAGCCTAACTTATTCCAGTCTTATAGCCTTTTGTCAGGAAGGGATAAAGTGAGACTTACAGATGGTTTTTTTTCTTCCATTGCAGGCCAATGATCAATATCCCTTCCCCATGGCCTTAACCTGAATTGTGTATTGCATGTCCCTCAGCTTCCCATAAACTTGCTTTCAATTAGTAGCATTACAAGCTCATTGAATTGTAGTGTGACATTTTTTGCTGACTCATGTGTTTTTCAGGATCTAACTTCTGGGAGGACGATTGGTAGAGGAAGCCTAGTGGATGGTCTCTACATTCTCGACAACAAAGCTGGTCTCTTGGTGTCATCCTCAGAGTCGCATAGTCAGTCAAATAAGAGTCGAATTTTCTTGTGGCATAGTCGTTTAGGTCATGTTTTTTTCGAAATAATAAAATCTTTGTTTCCAGTTTTATTTAAGTCATGTTTAGTATCAGAGTTCATGTGCCAAACGTGTTAGTTGAGCAAACAATGTAGAACAACTTTTCACTCAAGTAATAAAAGATCAAATGTTCATTTTCATGTTGTGTATTCTGATGTATGGGGGCCTACCGATGTAATCTCTGAGGGCGGATATAAGTTCTTTATTACATTGATCGATGATTACTCTCGCTATACATGGGTAATTCCTATGCGTAGMAGAGACRARGTTCCRAMGRTAGTGAAAGACTTCCAGAGGATGGTGTTTACGCAGTTCCATGTTGAAATACAGATCTTCCAATATGATAATACGAAGGAATACTTCCATGGGGAGCTCAATGAGTTCTTCGCCTCCCACGGATCTATTTATAGGAGCTCATGCGCCAGAACACCACAACAAAATGGTGTTGCAGAAAGGAAAAACAGACACCTTCTTGAGGTAGCCCACGGGATGATGTTACACATGAATGTCCCAAAAAGGTTTTGGGTGGATGCTATACTTACAACTGTGTATGTCATCAACCGCATGCCCTCCAGAGTACTGAACTACATGGCCCCTCATCAGTTATTGTACCCTCAATCTCCTTTATTTTCCATCCCCATGAGAGTCTTTGGTTGTCGGGCCTTTGTCCATGATTTGTCTCCATCCCGAGGTAAGTTAGACCCTCGGTCCATTCCTTGTGTTTTTCTAGGGTACCCCTCATTTCAAAAAGGGTATCGGTGCTTTGACCCAGTTAGTCGTAAATTTTTTGTGTGTATGGATGTGTCTTTCTTTGAGTCCGAGCCATTCTTCCTTTCTTCTCCTCAGGGGGAGAGTCGTAGTGTGGAAGAGGATAAGCAGGTTCAGGTATCTCTTCCTTCTATACTGGACCTTACTCCCTTTCGTGTCTTCCAACATACATGTCGGAGAGTTCAACGGTGTGATAGAGATGTGGAGCAGCCAAACACTGAGCAACTAACATCATCAGACTCCCAGGAGGTAAGTCCACCCCCTAACCCTACTCCTACTGTGGATGACCTTGACATTCCTATTGCCCAACGAAAGGGAGTCAGGTCCTGCACTACCAAACACCCCATTACCCACTTTGTCTCCTATGACCGCATTTCCCCCTCGTACCGAACCTTCCTATCGGCAGTTGATCGCATCCCTGTTCCCAAAAATGTTGCAGAAGCCTTAAAATGCCCTGAATGGGTAGATGCCATGAAGGAGGAGATTAATGCCCTCCACAAAAATCAGACTTGGGAATTGGTGGATCCTCCAAAGGGGAAAGACCCCGTGGGGTGCAAATGGGTGTTCACAGTTAAGCACAAGGCATATGGAACAATTGAAAGGTACAAAGCAAGACTAGTGGCCAAAGGGTACACACAAGTATATGGGGTTGACTATGATGAGACTTTTGCCCCGGTGGTTAAGATGAACTCAATTAGGGTTCTCCTGTCCTTAGCTACTAATCTTGACTGGGAATTGCATCAACTAGACATAAAGAATGCTTTCCTGAATGGTGACTTAGAAGAAGAGGTATACATGGTTYARCCTCCTGGATTCTGTGCCAAGGGGAGTGAAAATAAGGTGTGCAAGCTACGAAAGTCTCTTTATGGCTTAAAACAGTTTCCCAGAGCCTGGTTCAGTAAGTTTCACATGGCAGTTCAAGAGATGGAATTCAAACAATGTCAGTCTGATCATACACTCTTTGTGAAGAGATGTCAGGAACAGGTTGTTGTATTGATAGTGTATGTAAACGATATCATCATTACAGGAAGTTGGAGCTCAGAGATATAGAATTTGAAACAATTCCTTTCATCTAAATTTGAAGTGAAAGATCTAGGACTCCTGAAGTATTTCCTTGGGATTGAAGTTGCCCGCTCAGAAAAAGGGCATCTTTGTCTCTCAAAGGAAATACACCATTGATCTATTACGGGATATAGGTAAATTAGGTGCAAGGCCGGAAGATACTCCTATGGATGTGGACCACAAGCTAGGTGACTGTGTTGGTGAACCTCTGAAAGATGTGAAGCAGTTCCAAAAGTTAGTGGGAAAGTTGATTTATCTGTCCATGACCCGTCCAAACATTGCCTATTCCGTTGGGGTCCTGAGCCAGTTTATGCACTCTCCTAAGAAGCCACACATGGAGGTAGTAGAGAGAGTCCTTAGATACTTGAAGAAATATCCAGGAACAGACCTACTATTCAGTAAACACAATCACCTAAAGGTGGAAGTCTTTACAGATGCTGATTGGGAAGGAGCTATGGATGATAGAAAGTTCACTAGTGGGTATTGCACATTTGTGGGAGGAAATCTGGTGACCTGGAAGAGCAAGAAGCAAAGTGTGGTAGCAAGRTYAAGTGYWGAAGYTGMRYATAGAGCYATGGMACATGGGGTGGCTGAAGTCCTTTGGCTAAAGAACCTTCTAGGGGAGATTGGAGTTGTTGTTCATAGTCCTATGTCCCTTTACTGTGACAACAAGGCTGTAATAAACATCGCTAGCAACCCAGTCCTACATGAGAGGACCAAGCATATTGAGGTGGATAAACACTTCATAAGGGAGAAACTGGAAAAAAGGGGAATTTGCATCCCTTATGTCAGCTCCAAGGAACAACTTGCTGATGTCCTTACAAAGGGGCTTCCGTGCTCGCGACACAATGAGTTATGTGACAAGTTGGGCATGATAGACATCTTCAGCCCAACTTGAGGGGGAGTGTTGTAAGGCTTACTTAAGTGTTACTTTATAGCTGCTGTTACTAGGCTGTTGGACAGTTACAGTTACTTGTTTCTTTTTTCTTCTTTCTTTTTTCTTATTATTCTGATTCTAGGATATGCCACTAGGGGCATACTTGTAATTTCTGATTCTTTTATGAAGTTAATATAAATAGAAAACTGGCGGCAGATAGTAGTTACTTTTTTCCTCTCAACCGTACCTCTCTCTTCTTCTCTCTTTCTCTCCCCACGAATCACCACAAGTGTTATGGTCTTTTTTATGCTCATCTTGTTCAAATGCTTATGAATTAGTTATGAACACTTCTGTGTCACGTTTTTCGCCTTTTTTGATATTGGTACCATGAAATACACCTTCAACTGTAAATTTGTACCATGAGCAATTTAATGTTGCCCTGCTAAGTGCAATGTTACAATGTTACAGCATCAGTTTTGGAAACATACAAGGTGAAATATGCAACATTTATAGCTCCAATTGCATTTCAAGATGCCAATATAAGATTAACTGTATTAAAACGAGAAAAGGGATGTACACATCAAGAAAGGCCATACAAAAAACCATGAAAGCGTGACTTCCAATAGCAAAGTAGTAAGAAGGCAAAGACTGATCAGTATACAAAATATCTCTATAAGCCCCTGATTTAGCTAACCCATCTCCTGCGCTTTGAGATTTCTGGGAAACCATTGGATATAAGATAGAACGTCAGCTGCTAGATCTCTGGCTTCATTAAGCAGGTGTGCCATTCTCCAAAGTCCTCCATCTGGAGAGCTGATCCATTTTAGTGTTAGCTGAGTCCCCTTCAAAACCCACCTGTCTCGGGTATTTTTATAGTAATACAGGGGGGTTGGTGGTTCTGGTTGGTACTCAGAACAATGCTAATCATCCAGGTTGGTTGAACCGTTTTTGAATACTGTTGCTTTAAACACATTGGGCATGCCACAAAATTTAACAAGGGACATACATAGCATTGAAGAGGTACAGAATCGAATGGTGCAACAGGATTCATGTAGTTGATCCCATATAGTGGGGACTTGGGACAAGACATATTAGTAGTAAAACAAAGGGGTTGTTTAACAAGTCTTTTTGGGAAGATCTTCTGGTAGCTCTGACAGTCAAAAGATGCATTGAGCTTTTGCATGAAGATTTGAACAGTCCAAAACTAGTTTGTCTATTGCACGTCTTTCCATGTCTTTCTACGTGAGAATAAAGCGAAAAAGATGCGAAAAACTCCATTTAGAGTTTCTGGAAATCAGCCCAAAATGGGCTTTTTGCGTCTTTTCGGTGCATCAACTTTTGGCGGTTAGATCTGTTACGAATCAAACAAAAAAAGACTGGTGTGGCCTGCCCGGCTTATAAACAGCTGAAAGACTGCACAGAAAATCGCACCAAAGGGGGCCAAAGGCTACATACTGAAATATCTTTTATAGGTTGTCTACTGTTTATACAATTAAAATATTAAGAACTACGCTTTCAGCTATCATACCAACAATAAAACAAGGTTTATTTAATGTTCTGCAAAATACCCTTCGATTCTAGTTTCTATTCTAGATTCTAATATGAGTTGAGTCAGAGTACCGAGTGATCGCTTGGTTGCGTTGAAAAGAAACTACTTGCTAATAAAGGTATCCTACCATATTGATACAAATCAAGAGTATTAAAAAAGAGGCAAGGGAACGCAGGAAGAGGAACTAGGTTGAAATATTCAGAAACAGAGTATGACCTTCAATGGAGTGGAACGTGATAACCGGGCATCCGTTATTGATTAAATAGTGCATTTCCCAAATCCCAAGGAAAATAGACCAGTGTTTAACTGTTTATATTTATATCAATAATACAAAATGATAAATTGAGAATATCTTGCCTTTTTAACAGTCTATTAATTGGGGTCCGGTTTACCGATTGTGATCTGTAAGACAATCCACGTAGGCTTAAAAAGTGATAATGCTAAATCTTTGAAGAATTTCCAAGCTGAGATCCATCGAGTCCTTTTGCCTTTTTTTTTTTTTATGTACAATGGGCAACTGCCAAGTGCCAAAACAAGCCTTTATTGGGCAAAGTACAGGGCAATTGCGTAAGAGATAAAAATCTTCCATTATTCTACTTCGCTTCCTTCTTCCAAGATATTCTGAGAACACCAAGGCATGGTTTTATGAGAACACCAAAGCAAACAGAGAGTTAGCAGGCAAAAAAAAATATCATGGACAAAAGGCATCCTTTACTTTTGCTGGATCAATATGGACAATAAGCATCCTAGTTGTAATTAAAAAACTACAAATATACAAAATGGAAAATAGAAGGGAAACAAAAGAAAAACATCAAAGATGATTGTTAGTATCCAAAATTGAAGTTGAATCCTACAAGTTTGTATTAGGCTTCACAATTCCATGAAGCTTCCACCCACCAAGTCCTGCCACAGAAAATGCCTGCAAAACAAAGCACCAAGAGGTCAGATTGCAATGGTTGTCTGTTAAATTTTGACAGTTTCTCAAATACAAGCTCCTTACTTCTTTATCTTATATTTTCCCATTAGTCTTGGAAATAAGAACTCACCTTCTGTAAAGCATACCCGAGTCTTAGTTGTTAGTCTTAACATTCAAGTGAACTACATTACAAAACAAACATTCTAGAAGCACTAATGTTTCTTTCAGTAAATAGAAACACTTCCAAATGCTTCCATACCAACACAGATTAGATAAAGTTCCTCAATTAGTATAGGCAGTATCTAGTAAAACCATTACCAGAATAGCACAAACCTTATATCTATCTCTTTATCTAGATACTATTTCTTCTCAAATATAACTGATCCTATTTTCTACTGAAACCATCTGACCATGACAGCAAATCAAAATGTACATTGTGGTGAAGAATATTTATGTCTTAAGTGTCTAGATGGAACAGATGCAAAATGACTAGAGTAGAGAATATTTATGGAGCAGAGGTGATGCCTAACCTCATCCCAGGACTTCCCAGTGGCTTCAAGCAAAGCAGCATTGCATGTCTTCAACTCTACTGAAGTGCCAGAAAAAACAGAAGCTGCCTCCTCCCATCCCCTGTTATGTCCCATACACCTGGAACAACACTGATTATCAGGAGATAACATTTCTGCCTCATACCTGGTATTTCATAAGTTATAGACCGCTTCATTTTGCACAAGAAAGGAATAATTGTATTTGACTATGAGGTTGAGCTGGACCTAAGATTAAAAAGGCACATTTGCTATAAATAAGCACATTCAGAGGGAAGTTTATATACATACAACATGAAAAATGAAGTATCAGGCATTATGGGGGACATATGGAGCAAATGCAAGAATTTCTTGACATACCTGGTAGATCTCCTAGGTCTAAATCAACATGATAGGATGATGGCAATGTCTGTTGACAAGAATGTGAAATGCTAAACAATCGATATATTTCTATATAAGGATATTTCTTATAGGTAGGACTTATGAAATAGGTGTATCAGACTTCTGTGTATAGGCAAGATAACATTATGGTGTCCGTTTCAAATTTCAAAACTAACTCAGATGATTCAAGAGACTTGACAAGCTTGGTTGTATTTTATTGACAAGCAGTTGCCGTAATTGGGTCAGAGCAAATGAAAGCTCACGGAACTTTAGTTAAACTTCAATCATCAGTTCAATTGTTTTAACACATTGTTGGCATTTTAATGTAACACTACCATGACTAGCAGATGCCTTAATAGTAGTTTGACAATATTCTTCTTGGCTTTTAGGAACTTAAGGCTTCACAGTATATCCAGTTAGGGGTCTTCATAGAAACTAGTTGACTACTAAGTTTACAGTGCTAATTATATTCCTAAAACCTACTGTTCACATTAAGGGATTAAGCCCAGCATATCAATTGGCACACTGAAAGAAAAACCTGAGCTGATCAATGGAACAACTCCACATCTATGGAATTCTTTATTCTTGACAAAAATCAACAAATTTTCTGCCAATCTAAAAGAATGTGATGGTTTTGCTTTGAAGAATTGGACAGCTATGGTTCTGAGGGTGTTGAGTTGGTTTAAAGGAATAGAATTTTTAGAGCTAAACCTTTGGCAGATAATGACAAAGAAGTCTCTGAGGAGGAGATGAGCAATTGGACGGAGTGAATATTGAAGAAACACACACTGTTGAGAAAGTTGTAAATACACAGGTGGAAGTTTGCAAGAAGTTAAGTTTGTTTTTCTAGAAGAATTTGCAAGGAAAGTGTTCAGAGAGAGAGAGATGAAAAAGGGCGGGAGGAAGAGTTTCTGGAGGGTAAAAAGGATTTTGAAGGCTTGAAGCAGAAGGTTCTAGTTTAGGAGCAGAGGTGACTCTAGACAAATTTAGGTCTGCCAGAGCTCTGGTGTCGGTTGAGAAAAACGATGGATGGGGGAGGAGTTTAAGATTTTTGAGAAGAATGGGTGTTAGAGTTGGAGAGAATCAATGGTAGTTCAAATGATCTGAAGGATTTCAACGTAAAATCTGATTCTGTCAGACGCTTCAGGAGACATAAAAATTCTCGAGTTGTTCCAGTCTAAAGTTTTTGTATGGCTGAAAGGAGGATTATTTGGGATTGAGACCAACAAAAAGGTGAAGAAATCCAAAAACAGTTCTCTGAAGAAGTAGTGAGGCTATGCTATAGTTTCTTTGAAGATGAAGTTGTCTTTTCATTTTTATCTTTTGGGAGGGGTGGTGTAGTTTGAAGATGAGGTGTTGTGTTTGTTTTTCTGGGATGTTTTCTTAGTTTGTGGATGTTATTGTTTTCTTCTCTCGAGTGACTTCCTGTCTCCTTTCTTGTAGTTCCCTTTTTCTTTTAATAAGTTTTATTTTGTTTACAAAAAAGAAAAGAATATGATGGCTTTTTTGCTGCGAAAATATGATGGTTTTTGTGAGCAGAAATATTCAATTAAGACATAAGTGAATTTTGGTGTAAGAAATCTCCTGGTAGGATCATTGAGTATCACGTCCTATCCCTTAATGGGCAACATGCATACAACTTTGTTCCATTTAGACCCTTCTCACATTTGACATCACTCAAGGTTAAAGTTTAAATGTATTACGAAACATGAAAAGTGAGGAGCTATGTGGAAATGATCATGTGGTATGGATGTTGTCATGTTTATAAAGTCAAAAACACTGGCAGAATAGGACTTACATCACTGTAAGTATCTCATCCCTTGAATATTCACAGATAGCTTTTTGAAGGTGCTCAGCTGTTTGCCCATCCATGGCTGCAATGGAATAGAAGCTTGAAATAAAATGCACCTCAGCTTCTAAAAAGCCTCGCACTTGTTCCTGCATAATCCTAAGTGTTTCTCTTGTTCGAGTGGCATCACTGCATGAATACATCAATTTGAGGATTATTAGTACCAGATATCCTACATAACTGAACACATTTGAACTTTATAGTTCTATAATTCCTTTATAAGTAAATAAGGAAAATCAAGTTGAAATGTTATTTACAAAACCTGACCTAGATAAGATAAGTTCAGGTACCCAACCTAGCTGTTGAAGCTTGTAAGAAACACTAATAGCATCAGCATGTCCAGATTTACTTAGAGGGCGATCATGATCTGTTTAAATGCAATCAATACAGAAGAGTTAAGAAACTTTCAAATGACTTTACTGTTGATGACTTCCATTTCATTTTTGTAATCCTATGAAAAAGAAACCATGGTTAGCAAGATGAAATGCAGTTTTTTATCTCTGAAACCCTCCTGAAAGAGTAGCTAGAAGCACCTTCAATGAGGGGCCGTCAGAGGTTCAATCCCATTTTTGGGTCTTATCCCACTAAACAATGAGCTGTTCTTGGTCCTGCTTGAACGGCTTTGCTTGTCATTAAAAGAAAATTACAATACTATCTATAATTCTATACCATGTCTACTTTTAGAGTTTGTTTCCGTCAGCACATGTATGAAAAAATTAATTAGGCAATAAAAGAATTTGCCAGTGCTTTAATTAGGCCAAAACTAAATCAAAATCAAGAAAGATACTTATGTAGCTTAACAGAAGGAACTCACTGAACTAAACTTTATGGGTTCAAACTCAATTGATATTTTTTAGGGCTTAAACTTGTTAAATAATTGTCATGGCATGATTGCACTAAATTTGTCTTTTATGGGGTTACCTACTTACCTTATGGAAAGTGGATGCATCAATAATTCCAGACAGACGCTGGTTGCTGGATTTTTTCCATATTCTATAAGGTTAACATTAACTTCATGGGTAAGGAAAAAAAAAAAAAAACTTCATGGGTAAAGATATTTGAAGTGCTATCTCAGCTTCATGTAAGAATGAGCTCCCAATAATTAGACTCGAATTCCACAATTCCCTCATTTCCAAAACCTCATCCACATGTAAATAAATGCTCCTTAAATCATCTATCAACATTATTTGCTGTAGTATTTAATTCGAAAAGTGGGAATTGTTACAAGGGACTGTTGATATACACAAGAATTTTAAGAAATTATTGACTGATGCATTAAAAAATAAACATCATTGATGCAAAATAGAGCTTCATTTGATAATAAGCTGCCGAATATTATACACTCGGAATCATTCTCATAAATGAAATTCATGCCCCTTAATTATATTTGCGTTTAGTTCTTTAATAGTTATTATTAAAGATTTGAAGGAGGTGACAGTTTTCGAAATTGCCTGTAACGAATGTCATTTTAGTTTAGAAAAAAAATAAAAAACTGAAATAAGTGACTACTTTGAATAGCTGAATGAGAGCTCATCATTCAAAACCGCATTTTTGTGGAACAGTTAGGAGAAATCAAAGCCTAAACAGAAATAAAATCAATGCGGGAATTCCGTACCTCGTAATGAACGATCATCCCAAGAGCTCTTGGCATGACGAAGCAGAATCAAGCGACGAAAAACGGATTTTGTTTCGGATTCTTCTGCAACATCGCTTTCTACGGTCTCGATAACGAGAGATCGACAAGAGAAACGGTTGGGCTTCTTGAGACTGAAATGAGATTTATGGGAGAGGGAAGTTGAAGGGACTGTTTTAGAGAAAATAGATGGAGAGACGAGGAAAGAATTGCAGAGGGTTGCCTTCATCATGTTACTCTTTGCCTCTCACTTCACTCTCTCTCTCTCTCTCTCTCGGTGTTATTATTAATTTATTATTATTTCCTTTGGATTACAATTACCTACTTTTTTAATAGAGAAGATAGGTAAGGGTGATCTGAGAAGACGTTGATTCTAATTAACGGACGAGATTTGAATGATTCGGCAGGTGGAAATGGGACCCATGCCTAGGGATATAGGGACTCATGATTGTCATTTGAAATGCTTCTTCTGTTCTCTTTGCAACCAAAAGCAGTTTCAAGTACCAAGAGGACTCGAGCTCGCCATTCATGGTTGCACTTTTGCTTTAACGCAGTTCCACTCCACCTTCCTCCTCACTGCTACCTCATTTGCCTGCTGCGAGTTGAAACCCTAGCAATTGGAAAAGGGTCGCCGGTCAGTAAATAATGCTGAATCTCTCTCTCTCTCTCTCTGAGTTGTCTAACCTGTTGCATAAGATTCCAAGGCTACAAATTCAATGAGTATGCTTAAAGTTTTTGCAGATTTGGCACTTCCATTGTTCAGGGCTTGAGTTCTTATAAAATCAGTTGTATTCAGGAACTTTATTTTTTTTAGCAATGCTAAGCTAGACCTTAGAGAGTTCGACCTTTCAGAAATTTATGCTCCAGATTTTGTTCTATCATCTTTGGGTTGATTTAAATAAAATCCGAGTAATTATGTCATGTGTTTTTATTTGATTTTTTTTTTTGCCTGTTTAGGTATTGGTGAAGATATGAATGATTGTAGTGTCTCAACCAGAAAGTAAAGTAGAGGATAGCAAGGTAGAAATGAGGATAGGGAAAATTGTTGTAAAATAATAAAGAAGGCACATGGAACTTATAGGTAATTGCTTTCCAAACCAGAACTTGCACGAGTGTGCTGTTGCAGAATTGCGAAATTGAGAGAAGGAGGGCTGAGTCGTGCCACTTGGTCATTCTCTTTAAAACTGCATTTGCCCCCTACAGTGCAGCCAGGTGATTGCAAATCGGTCACCAAGATAAAACAGCCCACAGGCCATTGGTAGGCGTGCACTCGCTTACCAGACCTCTGCGAACCACAGAGAAGTGATGCTCAGAAAAACCAGAGAAGATAAGACTGTCAAATGAATTGTTGGTGTGAACACTGGGTCAACCAACACTCCTTTTTTTATAGAGTGTTCTCAGACCCGAAGGGACACAGAGGTGTCCTTTCAGACAAGAGTCTCTTCAGAATAGTGCACCTGTTCAAAGAGGCATAGGAAGGAAGAGACACGAAGTTCAAAGTTAAAAAAAACAAATTCGAAATTGAAAGGGACACAAAAACATTTGATTCGAAATTCAAATCTGGTTAAAAAGTAAAAGCGAATCGGTGCATCGCACGTACACGTAAACGTACACACACCCATGCCCACGCCTCGGCGTGCGTGTGAAAAGCACTCCCAACCTCCCCTCACATGCATGGAATATCTATAGTGTTCTCCTCCTATGGGTCCCTACCCAGAGAGAGAGAGAGAGAGAACAAAACTATAGATATACTCTACTTCCACTCCTTTCCCAAGCAATGTGGGACAAGGAGTCTTCCCATGCACTCAAGAGTGGGAGGAAGAAAAGACAAAAACAAGAGAGGGAGGAGAGAGATTCATGAAATTTTGAATCTCCCTCCAATAAAAATAAGAGGAGAAAAAGAGGAAGTAAAACAGAGTTGAGGACAGTGATTTTTAAATAATTAATGAGAATTCCGTAATTTAAAGTAGAGGGTGGTATAAGAAGATATTGGGACCTATGAAAGATGTAGAATTGAAAATGATATTTGAGGCAAACAAATGTTGAAGTCAAGGAGAAAAGAAAAAAAGAGGTTGATGAAAGATGAGCGCCATGATGGTGAATACTCCATATCTATGGAAGGTAACAAGAGAAAGCTCTTGTGGAATGTCTGAACTTTGAAGAACAATAATTTGGGGACAATTAAAGATGAGGAATCAGGGACTGCATCTGAAATGGGAGAACTATAACTAAAAATAAGAGGAAGAAGGAGAAGCTGAACAAAGATAACGAGAATGTGGTTTTCACTTTTCACTTCAGTGGATGATAAAGAAGTTTAGAAAGATAGCAAAACCAGGGGATGGAAAGCCTCAACAAATTAAGGCAAGAGTTTTGTACATAAATGATGGGGGGTGGAGGGGTATAATAAAGAAGGAAAAAGGGGTAATGGGGGCAACAGAATTGAGCCCTTGAGGGTAAAGGCTGTGTGTGCTAAGGGAAAGAAAAGCATTGTGGATGAAAAAGAAAGTCTAGAGAAAATGAATCGTGTCAATAAAGAGAATTTAAAAAAAAGGTAAAATCCACAAAAAAGGAGTAGAAAGAAAGAACATGAAAGAATGAATCTTGTTTAAAAGAAATCCTCTCTGAGAAACCAAGTAACAAAAGAAAGGCAAGGAAGATGACAATACCATTCAAGTTGATCAAACTAATGTGGTTTCATGAAATAAGAAGAATGATATAGAAGAAGGACAAAAAATGAAGGGCAAACCCTATGCAACAAGTATAAACAACCACACCAGAATCTCCTTGGACTTTATGTAGAAGTAAGGTAGAACTCTATAATGAAATTCCTGATAGAAAAACAGAGCAAATTTGGAAGTTGATACCTTTCTGATTTCCAAATAGCTGCAGGTAGAAAAATTGATTAGTATTCCTACAGTGAGTGTTGCCCATCCTCCACCTCCCCTTCTGAAGGAGCTTTAAAGCTTAATCTTAATGGTTATGGGATTGAAGGTACTTTGAGAAATCCATTTGGCAAGACTGCGAGATTCTTCTCGTTTATTTGAGGTTTGATAAGAATGTGGATATCCAACAGAGTTAGAAGTTAAGATTGATGTTATCTCTGGGTTTTCAGTGATTGGATTTGAATGGAGATTCAGAGGTGGTCAGAACAAGGATGAGAGCAGGGGGCATGGCATCTACAGGCATCATATGCGAGAGGCTAGATCTTCGTTGAATAGAGTGAATATCTCATTCAACTGGATTCAAAGATCTGTCAATTCTTCAACTTATAGCCCTGCTAGATTAGGGGTGGCTAGAGCTGAGCTGTATTGTTGTGAGATATTCCATAGAGGGTTCTTACTTCTTTGGGGTTATCATACTGTATATTTTGAGTTACTTGTGGGAATGGCTTTCCTCGAAGTTGGAAGTTTTTTTTTGGTAGAGATCAAAGTTGGAAGGTTAGGTGATTTTCCAATATGCTGTTTATTAATTTCTTTTTATTTGATTATTTCTCTTTGTACTGTATCATATCAGTTTTATCATTTAATAAAAGGCTTTTCTTTATTGAAATATGAGAGAGAAAGGACAAAACCTGTTTGATTTCCAACTTGATTCAATCTACCTCTTGGTCAATTGGTGCTAATGGAAACAACTCTATGTAGCAATACTGACCTGTTTGGGGACACACTGGCTTTTTGGGAACAAAAGAATGTACTTGATATTAGTACATGGAACCTTCTGCAGACAAATGTGATATTTAGTTCCCCTAAGTATTTTCTTTTTCATGGTTCCTGTTTCTTTTTTTTTTTTTTTTCAGAAAATGGTATTACCCTAGTCTCTAACCTTTCTGTACTATGTTCTATGGATGAGCCCTTCTCTGCTTAGAGGTTGATATTTATTTCAACTTCTGCTACAGCCCTATGTTTAAAAAAAATATACCATGTCCCTTCAGCAAATCTTCTTGTTAGTTATCTAATAAGAGGTTAAGTCAATGCAACATGAGTGGGGTATAACCAAATCTAGGTTTTTGAGGGAGCATAGGAGCAGAAGAATAAAACTATTCATTCATCCAGAGTGACAAAGTGAATGAGAATGAAAATTGTTGAAAACTTGCCTGCTAGAAACTTGGATAATTTTTAGGAGACAAATGGACTGCATGTTTACCTCTAGTCCAACTGAAAACCATCTGAGAGTCTCCCTCCATTGCATTCAAGATAAAGTACTTCTTTCTATATCTCTGAAGAAGGGCTAGAATCTAATCTCTTCCAGGACCCCCATAACCAATATGACACAAAAATTTCAGGAAAATCTCCCTTCTTAATCCCTGGAAGCTTACTTCTTACCTGATTTGATGGCTGTTTGGGGGAAATGTATTGCCAAGGATAAATTTTTCCTAGAAGAAAGAATATCCCATCAACAGGATGCTTTTTTCTTGTCTTGTTTCCTGATTCCTCAGAATGGGGGATCACCTTTTCTTGCACTGTTAAAGTGAGTTACAAGATCTGGATGTTCTTTCTTCATCATCTTGATGTCAGTTGGTGCTTTCCAAGGATTCTTCATGAGATACCATCTTGTTGGCCTGTCAAAATCCTTGAGAGAAGAAAGCTAGTCTGGTATTCTATCCTATCGGCAGTAACTGGTACTGTGTAGAAGGAACACAACTCAAGGATTTTTGACAATATATCTGTTCAAGAAGATTAGTTTTTGAAGGAGGATTTTTTGCTATCTTTTGGCTCTCAACGCTGAAAGCGTTTAGGCTCAGTTTGTAAAGAGTACAAATACAAATATGTACAATGCAATTTGCACTGCACATATTTGAATTTGTACTCTTTCCAAACTGAGCCTTAGGGATGTTCCTTATTCTTCCATCTGTGGACACATTTTTTAGATTGTTTTTGTTTGGTGTATTGACTAGCATTTTATGTCTAGATCACTTACTGTATATGAGCTGGTTGATACTTGTGTGATTCTTTTCCTTTATTAATGAATACCTTGCCTTTTCTCAAAAAATAAAAAATAAAAAAATAAAAAGGAAAAACCTAATAGAGCATCCATCAAAATTAATCTTGATTGCTCCTTGGGATGAAGGCTAGCTCTCTTATCATTGTGGATGTTTCTTAGCACACTCCCCTTCTTTCCCTTAAGTTGATATTTCTTAGAATGTACCTGGTGGTTGATGTGCAGTTTTTCAATAAGAGAAAAATGACCATACTGTGGGGGAAGCATCTTTTGGGCTTTCAGTGGTCCGATTGGGAGAGCTGATGCTACCAAGGCAGAGATCTTATCTGCCCTCACAGGCCTCCGTTACGT